GCGTAAATATAGTTGCGGGGACCCTAGGCGGTCCCCCTGCCAGCCAGCAGCGTGTGGGGGGCTACCGGAGCGGCTCTGCTGCCCACCACCTGCCCGGACCCCCGGGGAGAAGCTGCTTCGCCGGGAGGGCACCCGGCAGCAGCAGCGCATCGGGGAGTTCTCCCAGAAATTACAGTGGAAACCTCATCAAGCATCAAATTTTGCTCTCTCCAATAAGAAGGATGTTTATTAGCATACCACGCAGAAGCTGAAACGAAAAGCCCTAATTAGCCTGAGTGCTTTTTCTAGGCGATAATTGCTGCGTAGGGAAAAAAAAATAATCTTACCTGCTGTGAAGTGCACCAACAACCAAATTGCTGCGGGCACAATCCATGCAAACAGCATTTTGCTCCCTATAGAGAAACGAATACCTTTTACCGGTCTCTAAAAAGTGGGAAAACGATTTACAGATATTTGTAGTTTACTATTTTACAACTTCAGGAAATCCCAAACGCTTATTTCGTGAGACCTTTCTAACTGACGTGCCCTGCTAACGTTGCCAAGTTGTGACCCTCGAGCCCCTACGGGCAGCAGCAGCGGATTTTCGGGCGGTTCTCCCCAGGGACCGGCGCGAGAGCTGGAGCGGGGGCAGAGGGCTGGGAACTTCAAACCCAGACAACTCCGCGCTTTAGAAAAATACGTATTTGCTGCCTTCCCTCCCAAAGACCCCCTGTAAGCCCAGAACCAAAAATCTGCCTGTGAAGGACAAGGACAAACCACCGGTACCCCCAGAGCTAGAATCTATCGGTACTTGGGGAGCGAATACACCAACGAGCTGTCACTGCTGCAGCTCCTGGCCCGCCGCAGAGATGCATCCTTTAATAACTCAATACCATATTGGAAGCAAACTGCTTTCCAAGTGAAACTTTAAATCCAGACTGCTTTTCATGCCGTCTTGGGTGGCGGGGCACTTCCCTGGGGATGCATTGCGCGGTATACTCTTTGCCACGTGTATATTAATATAAAAATTACCGAACAAGTTACTTCAGGCTGTTTTTATATAAGGAGATGGGATCTATCCCATGTTTTTTAAGTAAACCGGTACCTGAGGTGAAGGTGAAATACATAAGGTTTGCCCAAATGCGTATTAACACCTTGTTTTATTTAAAAGCAGCTGTTCTTCAGACCGACCCGTTAAGCCTCGCCGCGGCGCCTCAGCTTTACGCGAAGACACTTCAGCGGTGCCTTCCGTAGGGGATTAGTAACTGCGAGGATGAGCAATCACAGCACCAAGGTTCTTCAAGTAAATGCTCTGCCTTCCAATAAACTGAAATTGCCCGGTGGCTGTGTAAACATCCTTCAGAGAGCTTGCTTTCTGACAGCAAAACTGTACCCAAAATACTTGAGTCAACGGACAAACCCAGTCTCGCTTCAAATAATTTTAGTCAGTGGTTTAGTTAGGTAAGCGCTAGACAATTTATGCAGCAGCAGCAGAGCGCGGCAGAGCGTATAAACTGTGATCAGAGTGAAATAGGAGAAAAGAGTGAGCGATAACCTTCAGCTCAGGGCAAAGGTAGGTGGGGAAAAAGATTTAAGAAGGAAAAAAATCTGACATTCCACGTCAATGAGGGACACCGGTATTGCTGTGCGTAGGTTAAAGACAATAGGAAGGACATTGTCCTGGCAAGTGGGAGGCAGAGGAAGCACACAAGGTGCTCGCAGAGTACGAGATCCCGCGTGTTTGTGCACACTCATCTCTACGAAATGGCAGGTGAAAGCACAAGGGCTGCGCACAGCCCGTACATTTTGTTCACCTATGGACTCACCGTGCTGGCATCGGCCGTTTGCAGCGGCCAACTCAAGTTCTTAACGGAAATCCCTTGGAAAGCACAAACGCTCTGTAGTTTGCTCTAACCAACTTTTTATGCCCTTGCTCCCACTTCTCCCTAAAAAAGCTCCACGCAAAGCAAGTGTCTGCCCTAAGGGTCTTACCCGAAACCCGCAGGAACAACCGACCGACCGCCGGCAGAAAGAGGAACATTTCTCACCGTTACTTTTCACCCAGAAAAAAATGCCATTTGTGCCCAAACTGGGCTGTTGCTTACATAGCCCTAATAACACTAGCTGCATTTTTAGGGAAACCTCCCACCGTCGGCAGGGTCACGGGGCCCGCTCCGGCTGCCGCAGACCCAGCGAGGCCGGTGGCACCCCGTGCTCGCGGGCTGGGGGATGGTGGCCTTGGTGCCTTCCTGCCCAAGGTCAGTCACTCTTCACCGGAGCCACCGAGCGCAAGGTATTTAGTAAGACCTCACCGTATGGAGGAAAGGGATGGTGTTCTTTCCTAGAGGATGGCCCTTCAGTGCTGCGCTCCATTAGGCAGCTCCGTCTCAGGGTGCAGGCAGCATCCCGGGACAGGGAACATCCCGAGGCAGGCAGTATCCCAAGGCA